ATCTGGACATAGTTCCTGTAAATAGTGGTTTCAATTCAATACCGTTATATGTTACAGAGCGCTAGGGGAACTTTCACTGTAGACATAGAAGATTCGACTTATTTTGTCGAGTTAGAGATTCAAAATCGGTGTGAACTATCTTCGTGTCTGTTATTTTCATGTAGGCTAAGAACCATTCCGTTTAACATACTTCGGGTTCATAACAGAAGCAGGAAGTACACGTTGCTTCGGTTTTTTTTTATTCAATTGGTTCGATATATAAATTGTGGAATACATGTATTTGTTGTAAGACAGACTATATGGAAAGTCACGTGCATACAAAAGGAAACGACTTATGTAGATATTTATTGATGTATACCAAGAAACCAGATATTGACTGCAGCAACCAAGTACAATAAATCTATTGAAAACACTATTAAATGAGACAGTTACGCCATCCGTTTGTCCAATCGTTTCTTATTGTCAGAAACGGAAGTTGGTTAGCTTAGCTATTCAGTAATAGTCTTCCTAGCTCACCGTCAAAATTTTAACCCTCATATCCATGTATGTCCAGAATTATCCGCGTTTGGAAGTTATTAAAATTACGACTTGACATTTCTTGACATCTTGACTTACGTAAAAAAGACATAATATAGAAATTGACAGTAAAATTCTTAGTTTGATGTATTTTGGAGGAATTAGGCGATTTTCGTTCCTTTCTCGTAGTTCAAAAATCAGCTCGCGAACCTGTCTCTTTGAGAACATAAATATATATAGATTCCTAGAAAGCTTAAGAAAGTTTAACCAGAATATTCCTATAGATTGACCAAAGGGTCGTCTATATACAATCTAATTAAAAATTAGAAGAAAATGTTTATTTTTCTTCCTGATATTTTTCCCCGTTTCATTCAAGTCCTTAATTCAAGTCCAAAATCTAAAATAACAGTTTGGCAATACTTTGGTAGCAGTAAATGAAACACATTATCTTACACTCCTTTTAGAGCAATTCAACGATAAAATCATGGCGTCACTTTCAGGCAGTGACACAACTGCCATAGGGACTGTTTAAACCAAGTCCATGGGCTCCACACCAAAGAGGCCCCCAGAAAGAAATGCATGATATGTTAAAAAAAATCCCAAGAGAAATCCAACCGACTTCAAAACCCAAAGTCCACGAGCACCACTAATCTAGTTGAGCCACTGCTTACAGGAAGTTATTAATATTCTGCCCGCGGGTTGTGATGAGATTGTATCAATTTAAATGCATATTCAATACTTCATCAATGAGCCCTAGCTAGACCTAAACCAAACAAACTATGAGGCGTAATTATTTAAAAATGAAATAGTTTTTATCTGTCTTAAAGGGACAGATGCGCCTTTTTTTAACAGTCGTTCCTTATTCTTAGAAACGGGAATTCTTTAGCTAAGGCAATCTGTAATAGAGTTCAGAACTCACCGTCGAAATTTGAACCGTCATTCATGTGTTTCCAGAATTATTCGTATTCGAAAGTTAAAAAGACGAGTCGTCTTGTCTTGAGACATTGTCACATATAGAAAAGACATCTATACAAACAAGAAAATAAACTCCCAGTTTGAGGTATTTTTGAAGGAATTGTTCGTACATTTCTAATGATTCTGAAGTCTGAAAAAAATGGCGCATCTGTCCCTTTAACATATTCAAAAAGCAAAAATTCATGGTGACTTTCGTCTTCTTTTTGTTTTTCAGTAAAAATATTTGGTGATTGAAGTATAAGAGTGGTCATTAGTGGTATAGGATGTCAACTTTGACCTCAAAGCTCAATTCACACTGCTTTAAATTGGGTTAATATCCCACCTCAATAACAATCGTCAGGACAGTAGGTCAAAATATTCAAAATAGTCAGATTTCCATTTTTTGTTTTTAAACCAAACAGTTTCTTTTAGGGGTGATTATCAATAAAAAATCTTGAACGCAAGAAAACATTCAGAGAAAAGACACTCTTAGATTGAAAGAAGGGTGGTGCACTTATCTACTGCAGTGTGAATTGCGCTTGAGTTTATCTATTACAGAACAATTAATAAAAGTTTCAACAAATAATGGATTTTCTATTGCTTTTCAAATTGTCATTGTGGGACTTTGCTTTCAGCAAAGTCCCAGTTTGTTATCGAAATGTCAATTCCTTTTTTTTTTTTTTTTTTTTTTTTTTTTTTCCGATTTTTACACACCTTCCTGAGCTTAGACTACAGTAGTTGCAGCAACCATTCAACATTCACGAACCTTAGATATAGGCGACGATGTGCATAAATATATTTTGGATCTTTTTTGCAAAACCGGAAGTGCCACAGTTCAATATGTGCA